AAACATAGCCTGGTCAATTCCGAAGTCTTCCAGTACAGGTGCATACGCTCTGATGAATCCTCGCTTCCGCGATTTGGGCCGTCGCTGCGGAAGAACCACTGGATATGGGAGTCTTGGGTTAGTTGTCGGCGTATATGGTGGTGGCTGTGGATAGTTTTGCAGGAACGACTCAGCTAGCTGCTCCGGGGTTTGATTTGTGGCGGCTTTGGCTGTCTCCGGAGTGCTGTTTAATTCCTCCTGCAACTCGTCGAGTTCCCAGTCTTCTTCGTGTTGCTCCTCGACTGCCCTTTCGTGGCGAGCGAAGTCGTCTTCGGTTGTCGTTGCGTTGGCATTATTGGTCTCTGCCCCGTCAGGGCTTTGAGCCTTCTTCTCGCATCGGTTTGCCTTGTATGCTGTAATACTTTCGGATGCTAGACCAATTCCGGCTGCGACACCTTTGATAGCCTTTCCGCGAAGCATGATGTGATTATCTTGTAGAAATAAATGGGTCACAGATATGATACGCTTTTCGATGTGAATCAACAAGAGGGGTAGAACAGAGAAACCGCAGCTGCTCTTCAGATTTTATACCGCATCTCACTCTGCGATAACTCGCAGTTTACCGAATGAGGAAACCAATTCGTCAACCTTGGAAGGACGAAAAGGATGGCCATTGGACTGATCCAACATAAGCCTCGTTCTCCAATCTTAGCGTGCGGGTCTCGGGGGCTGTGCTTGTGGATACTAAGCGCTAATCTACATTTGGCATACAGTTCGGTTCTAGCCATCAGCCATGAAGGTACGTCTCGACCTTGGGCGTTGCTGAGGCTGAGTCTTTTCGCATTTGCCGAGCAGTGCTTTTTTATGAAGTATGTAGTGCGTAACTCTTGGACGTACGCATGGAACATGGAACATCACTTGCGATTCCTGGGAAAGCATTTCTATTCCGCCTAGTCTGACATTATTAAACGTAAGTCATTTCTATGTACACTGCGCCTGAAATGTAAGGGTCATAACCTTCCTCGACCCTCAGGTATCTATATCTATACTGCATACACCACGTGATGCAATGTTGGGTTGAAAGCGCGCTCTAAGAAGCCATGTTTTCCGGAACTGGCTGCGGTTGATACTGAGAGAAATTCTCCGGCCAAAGGAACATCTTCTCTTCTTTCGATGGGGTCGCGGCGACAAACTTGGGAACCTGCAGTCAGGCGGTCAGTAAATGCCCCAATCCCCGATATCACTGGCAAGTCACAACGTACTGCTTGCTTGCTGGAGACCCGTCTCCACATGTTGGCGCGGGGGTTAAACCGAGCCGGTTTACCCACGCCTCCAGTCTTCTCCTGGTCCTCCTTTATAATCTTCTCCACCTCTTTCTTCACGTCGGTAAAGCTATCGAAGCCGATGTAAGGGATCTTGTGCTCAATGCAGTACTCCTCCAATCGGAGACCCTTCCGGGCAAACAGAACATCGGCTTCCCGGGCGGCCGCCAGATCGGAGACTCCGTCGCCGATGAAAATGATGAGAGGAACCTCGTTCTCATCGCTCAATTCTTCGGCCTGTGCACGGCCCTCCTTCACAGAAAGGGCCTTATCGTGGCCGAGTTCGGTTTCGTGTCGCCAGATCGGCTTCCATTCCGAGCCGTCGGGTTTGATCTGTGCGTCGTTTGCGACAATGCCGATCCGTGATGACTGCGAGAAAAATTAACATTCACAGCCCCAAAAAGATGATAGCGATCGTGTGCCATACGTCTTCCTCGCCCAAGAAAGTGTCTAGCACTTTCCGCAAAATGGGCTTCAATCCAGCACTGATCACGTTGAAAATGATGCCGTTGTCAATGCAGAATTGATGAAACTCCTCAAAGCCCTGGTCAATCTCCAGTTCCTTTTTCATTACTTCAAACCCATCCTCAAAAGGAACCCGCAACGACCCCCACATCTCCTCGGAGACTTCCCGGAATGATCGTTCACCGGACTTGATCTGCTCGTCGAGTATCTGACGGCGCTTCTCGCCGCATCCCAAGTTATCGAAGAGGACATGGCCCGTGTCTTGCATGAAAATCGTGCCGTCAAAGTCTAAAGGGGATTAGCGCACGCCATGGCACATGGGGTATAGGATTCCGATACCTGAGAAACAGACAATCTTTCGCGTTGGGTTGGCCATGGTGACTTGCGCTTGATTCAAGAAGAACTCCAATGGTGATGTGTAAATGGCGACAATTGGTGGAACCAGGGCCGGCTGAAATGCCTGCAATAAGTAGTTTTCTTCATGGCCGTGGCGACCCCAAACCGGATTGCAGAATCAGATCTGGCCCCATGACGTAGAGGATACTTGTGAAAGTGGACTCGGTTCCTGTTACATCGTCAATGGCCTATAATGTCGCTGTCTCTGGCGGGTTTTGTGGATCTGCTGGACCTGGGCCCTTCCTTCGCCGAAGAGAATTCCATGGATTAACGTTGGTCCGGGTTGATAAGCCCGAGATCAGCCACGGGTGGCTAGTGTATGATGCAATGATGTCATGCAGTTAAGATCAGGTAAGAATTTGGAACGGATTTCTAGTCTAATCTAGTACCTAGCAATCTACTCCCTACTATAACTTTATTGCTTTGCGTCTTGTGCGATCTGATTGTCCATAAGGGTTCGCAGGAGATCTTGGCAGTCCTCCCGGCCCATGTGAACCTCAACAATTCTAAGCCCATTGCCTTTCTGGATCCGGTCCGAGTGCAGCACTTCTTCTAATTCTCCAAAGGTTCTTGCACTGAAAGTGTTCTTGGCGGCGTCTTCTTCACTGCCGCCAAAGAAGCTAAGCGCTTCCAGATGCCTCCAGGGGGCAATATCGTTGTATGCCTGGTTTCGGCCATGGATTGCCCGTTCGATAGTATATCCGGCGTTATTAATAACAAAAATGGTGACATCAAGTTTCTCGCGAATGATCGAGCTTATCTCCTGTACTGTCATCTGTAGACTGCCATCTCCGATAAACAGGAACAGTCGACCTTTACCGGTACTAGCGCCGTTGGAAGGTTTAAAATTGTTCGTTTCTTGCTGCGCGAGAGCAGCACCGAAACAGGCCGGAAGCATGTACCCGATCGACAGCCATGTCACTGCACAAAACATCCGTGTATTAGGGGGGAGAGTGAAATTACGTCCACCATAAGAGGCTGTCCCTGTTTCCGTAGCCACGATATCTCCCTCGCGGAAGAGTCGGTCGACAAAACGGTAGAAATCATTCTGTGTGATGAGATCGGACTTTTTGATCTGGCTTAGGTCCCCCTTGCGTTTGGGGGGTGCTTCATTGATTTTAGGAATGCGGCTATGATCTAGACTTTCCAACAACTGAGTGAGGAATTGTTTGATTGAAAAGTCCCTATGAAGCTCTTTTCCAATTTGGATGGTGGTGTCCGAGAAGGAGATCGATACTTCTTGCTTGGGGATTGTGGCAAAGCCTTGCGTATTAGTGTTGCTGTAGTGAGGCCCGAGCACGAGGACTAGATCAGCCGAGTCAAAATATGCTTTTTCTTGCTCGGCACCGTAGTTTCCACCGTAGAAACCGTAGACATTATTTAATTGCTCATTAACCAGACCTTTCCCATAGGCGGACGTCCACGTCGGCCAATGGGTAGTTTTAATTAGTTCATCAACCTGAGGGAGGATGTTCAGAGCCCTGCTTTCCCCGTCCACAAATATCATTGGGCGCTTAGCAGAGTAAATACGCTCCAGCACGGTTGTCAAAACGGACGTCTCGTGCTTGGGACTCGGGGTAGCAGGTAATTCGATCCTTTTTGTTTCGAGGTTCGACGCCGAGATCATGACGTCAACCATATCATCCGGAACTTGGATATAGACCGGCCGGCTATGGACCAGGCACTGCTGCAGTGCCCAATCGATCTGTTCTGCCGCTGTGCGAGGGTCAATGAGGTTCGCTTGAGCAACCGTGACTTGGGCGTGCATGGCCGCAAATCGGTTATATTCCCCATCGGCGAAGGTATGGTGGACTAAGGTGCGGGCATCCTGTAACGCACGCGATGGCGTACCGACAATGTGAATGACCGGAGCCTTTTCCGCATACGCGCCTGCGATTCCGTTGATGGCGGAGAGCTCGCCGACACCAAACGTGGTGATCAAGGCTCCCAGCCCGTTGATCCTGGCATATCCATCCGCGGCGTATGCGCCGTTCAGCTCGTTGCAGGTCCCAACCCAGTGCAACCCGGATGGCTCCACGAAATCCAGTAGTCTGAGGTTGTAGTCCCCCGGAACCCCAAAAATAGACTGGATGCCGAGCTGGCAGAGTCGGGCGAACAGATAGTCCGCAACCTTTATTGTTCCCTTGGAGGTCGAACTTTGAGTCATTGTAGTGCTATACTGTTGGGAAAATCGAAGTCCGTAACTATAAATCCAGGGAATGGTCGAGGAGGAGTAAAGATGGAAAGATGATAACGAGGTTCTGTAAGGTTTATATATGCTTATCTAGGTTTGCGGGGATGAGATCCAGTTTACTTAATCGGTATTCACGTCCGCCCCCAGCCGGCCTTAAGCGGTTGTTCTCGGCGGAAGGGTCCAGTCAGATCCCATCACATGACAGCGTATCTAGATAGTGACTTGTTGCCCACGCCGCGATTGCATCCTGCTTAGGAGGAGTACCACTGCTAGTGCGACTAACTCCAACTACTAAGTTAGCACTAAGCAACTTGTCAACATGCGATCGATCCGTGATTGGTGGCGATCATGTCGCTTGAAACGGCGCGTAGCTCTCGGATCTTTTTACTTGGTACTTAGCCATTTCTCACTACATCCGCGGTTCTGTCACTCACGGGATCCACCTCTCAATAAGAATATACTCCACTCGGAGATGTAACAAGAGAAGAAAGAGCTCATGGGAACAGAACTGTACCATGTATGTTCAAATCAACTGTTCCTTATTTCAACACTTGGCAACCATAGTCCGGCATAGTCCCGCCTTGCCGATACTCACAATATGTACTATCACGTACAAAGCTGTGTAACATCGATTGGTTGTGATTTCAAGAGCATATGGGGAATGGAGGTGAGGATGCATCAAGACCACCCGCATAGGTAACCTGCTTTCCCGGATGCGCAAACACCGTGTGCTTTCCTTCCACCGTAGAACAGCCATTTCCAACATTGGCCACGAACATATCCGGATAATCGTTTGCAAACGATTCCCTGCTACCGCTCCCTCCGCTAATCTCAACATCCGCGCAATTCATGTACATCTCCCGATTGCCCACCAGGTTAAACCAGGACCAAGCAAACAGAGCATGGCCATTGACCACATCGCTTGGCATCTCGAAGTCGTACTTGAAATCGAGCGGGCATCCCCCCACCATGGACTTGATGACCTTAAAGGTCTTCCCTTCGTCGTAACTTAGAGACAGCTGGCAGGATCCACCACTGTGTGTTGCGGCGCCGGTCACACTCATGTTATATGACTCGCCAGCCTTGTATTCCACGGTTGCGCGCCAGGGGGTGTTCTTGTGATAACCCTTGCAAGGGAAATTGGCACCTAGGTTATGTAAACATTCCATTCTGATGTATACTGAAGTTAGAGGAATGCCGTACCGGACGAGTCGAGGGGGTTGGACATGTCATAGTCCTTGTCGGACCCTTTGTTCTGAGGGTCAAGTGGGCTGCGCAGGGGATAAGGCCAGCTCATTTGCATGTGTGCTGCTGCCAGGCCACAGGACAGAAGGACGCTAAAAATGGCGTTGAAGTGCATGGTTGTTTTTGCAAGGTTGTTATACACGATGTCAATAGCTGCGTTTGTGCGATGATGATGATGATGATGATGATGATGATGATGCTGTCTCGTCTGAGTCGATAGCCGTCCTGCAGCCCATATTTATACCTTCTGTTCGCCTTCGCTCAGCTGGATATATCGTGAAGTGCTAACGGCGCCATATGGACCTGTCATGTTGCAGTCAACTGGAGTTACATGGCTCGGTTTCGGTATTCTCTTCGACGAGGGTGCATTCACTACCATGGCCTGAGTTATCGGAACATTCAAGTGGGTGTGCAGTGTACTGTGACAGAATCAGCTGGGGCCCGATCGCCCTTGAATCATACTCATGCCACAACGTCCCCCACTTAGCGCCAGTGTGAATCTAAGGTGAATGGAATGACATTGCTATAGAGTACCAATAACGGACAAATTTTGTCGGAGATCCTCACTTTTTTGGTTAGGCGTTTCATTACCGAACTACCGTTCTCCGAGTCTCCGACGGTGCACAGTGTGAAACTCTCAGTTAGTCCAGCATACCTAACATTATTCACACCCATCAAGGGTACATAGTGTAAGTAACGGTGACAATTCAGCAATTTGAAGCCATCTAGAAAGAGCAGTGATATGCCCTCTCATGGCCATTGTTCTCCGGTATATACTTTGACTTGTGATGAACAATGCAGCGAAGCGCTCGTTGGAGAACCAATCCGGTTTGCGAGAAGAGGAAGCTAGAAAAGTCCAGATATCGGTAATTCGCGGGGTCCTGCAGATTTTATCGGCCTCAGGACCAATGAAATGGATGCATCGTATTGGCTCCCTGTCGCCATTAGGTCATACAATACTATTGTTGGGGCTTTAGTTGTGCTTGGCAGTGGTGATTAATCTTAATTGAATTGCCGGGAGATTAACGAAGGGCGAGGGCCTGTTCCTGATTGTACCACAGTGCCATTATAATGTTACACTGCCGGTCTTGCTAGCTATCGCATGGCAGACCATGGATGTGTTTGGACCTTCGTCAGGTACCTTTGAAAGATTAGTGCGGGGTGAGATACAGGGTGGCACCGTGGAACCCTCCTGCTCATATTATGGAATTCAATTGTAGAATTCATTAGAGCAAAATGAAATTAAATATGATAATCGAGTGATAGTGGCTGTTTCCAGTCGATGGTTCTGCCTGTTCCCTCAAGGCTGAACTCTTGGAGTAGTAGCGGTTTACTCCGCAGCAGAATTGGGAATACTGGAGATTTGGCGACTCTACCAATGCTCATGCTTTTGAAAGCATCCCCGTGATGCAAATTGAGAGCTTCCAAGCGTTTTGCCGTAAGTCGGCGAAAGCTTGACATTTGGCACCATCGCCGAAGCAACAGGAGCGCAACCTGTCGGAGGGATGGAGAATGCTGAAAAGACGCGACTAGTCCTGAATAGGCCAGCATCAGCTTAGTCAACACCGGACGGTCGTTGATCACGGGACTCTCCTCGAAATACTTGGATATACTTCTAGACATGATAGCATCACATCGAAATTATCTGATCACTTTATGTCTACTGTCTTTCTACAAAGGATAGCAGCTTATAAATTTCAGAAGCGGTCTATTCTCATTATCTCTACCATTGAATCGAAACACGGCTATAGCGGCTTCCTGTCTCCTCGTTAATTGGGTCTCGCGACATCTTGACCCAAGCCAGGGCCACGAAATCATTCTATCCCTTGCATAGCTGGAATGCCATATCTCCAGGATTGACACTTCGAGTGACAGATCTCCCAGGTTTATCTTGAACTCAGATATGCAAAAATAAGCTTCATATGGAAATGTGCTACAGCTCAATGTAGATTCAACCTCCTTGGACAATCGAGCAGAACGGGTCTAACCATGCCGCACATGTTGAAAGATCACCTCTTCATAATGGACATACCATGTCCTTAGTAGAGTGCTCACATGGCGGTGTGTGTGGCTATGTGGATCCTTGTCATTCCTGAATCGCCTTTTCAATTTTTATGTGACCTGTCATTTCATTGTCAGCGCAACTACATAGAAGAAGCTGTTGGGAAGCAATTGAGTTCCTTCCATCTCGCACCTCATTATACCTTAGTGAATATTCACAGATCCATAAGGCTTCGTAATGTCCACAGATATCTTCAAAGTCACGGAACATACTGCGCCGGCAGGCCATATCCGGGAATATCCCGGAAGCACTGCTAGAAGTCAGGAAGAGGTCTTATCATTGCATGTCAAACAATACACGCCGCTGGATCAAGGCCATACCATACCCACCGATGCCATCACTGTGATCGCGACTCATGCTTGTGGTTACCCCAAGGTATGGATGACCCTATAGTATTATAGTGATGGAGGAACCCGAGCTCCGTAGTCTTGAGCCTGCCTAAATATGGATAATTGCACGGGTCAAGAGCATGCTTTCTAACAGGAATGTCACAAACAGGAACTCTATGAGCCCCTCTGGGATGAGATCTATCACCGGTTAAAACAAAATGGTGTCCATATTCGAAGCATATGGATGGCAGATGCCCCAAACATGGGCATGAGTGGTGTACTCAATGAAGACAAGATCAGCCTTGACTGTAAGTTGTTGATCCCTTGAAATCCCCCACGACCGTACTAAGTTCCATAACTAGATTCGTGGGTAGATTCTGCCCGCGATTTACTTCTGATGATCAATCACTTCCGCAACCAGATGCCACGGCCTCTTGTTGGAATCGGTCATAGTTTTGGGGGGAATATTCTGTACGGACACCTTCTTTCATACTATAATGATCACAAAAGCTAAAAGTCAGTGTCGCTGCTCAGCGCCAACCTTGCACTCATGCACCCGCGCCTGTTTACGACCCTTGTCTTTCTCGATCCTGCCATCATGCCCAGAGCGACCCAGAGGGGGATCGGTATTGACCCGCCCGGCGCCGTCAACTATGCTCTTTGGCGACCCGACATTTGGCCAAACAGAAAAGCAGCGGCATCGGCTCATGCAAAGACATGGCAGCACTGGGACCGTCGCTGCTTCGACCTGATGGTCAAGTTCGGCTTCCGTGACCTCCCCACCGCACTGTATCCCACCATCCCAGAGGGCGCAGATCATTCCGAGCCACCGGTGACTCTCACCACAACTAAGTACCAGGAAGTCGCAGGCATGTACCGTCCTAATTTCTCGGCTCGCACGGCAGACGAGAAAACTCAGATTGATCGCTCTGTCCACCCGGATATGGATCCTACTAACGTTAACACAATTGTTTATCGCCCTGAAACTCGCAGCACATTCTCAAAGATCCACCATTTGAGGCCCTCTGTGCTCTGGATTCTGGGAGCGAAAACATTTCTTGGCATTGACAACCTCCGCGAGGCCATGAGGCCTGCGGCGTGGGGGTCGGGGGTAGTGGTGGTATCTCCCATGGCCAGGTCAAAGAAATGATCCTCCCAGAGCGTGGTCATCTTTTCCCATTCGAGGACGTAAACCAGACCGCCAGTTGTTGTGCAGCGTGGCTGGTCCAGGAGATGGGAAAGTACAGAGAGTCAGAGCTTGCATGGAACAAGAAACGATCGTTAATGAGTCGGCGTGATCATCTTGTGTATGGTGAAGATTGGTTTGAAACTATTCAGATGCCCAAGGTGATGCAGCGAAGGGACAAGCTGTAGCCGACTTAAGTCACTGTGGTAGGTTGTATATATATAATAGACGATGGTTATCGCTGGTGATTAATTGATTATACTACTTGTGGGACAGCACAGTCAGTTTCTATATACTGCTTTATAGAGAATACGAAGGGTTGAGATGGACTTCTTAACGAAGATGTGTAACACAAATCCTCCAACAGGCATCAGCTCAAACATACGAAAATAGTATCATGGACGAGGATCGAATTGTTGATCATTTCAATACATCCACCCGATGGTGTACGGTATCGTAATTACCATATCGAAAGCTCCAGTGTATTTATCCTTGCAGGCCAACTCTTTCCCCCCCGGTATCATTGTTTCTCATATTTTCCAAACATATGAATTGCAGCAGGGCAATTAAATATCGAAGAAAAGCCCTTAGACATCCGTCACCACATACCCAGCACTCCGCGTCACAACTCTCTTCGCATGCCACTAACAACGGTGAGATACGCTATGATCACAGTGCACAGCCTGCTGGTATTTCTTCCCCTCGGGGTTATCGCAGCACTTCTCAACTGGAACTCGGTGCTGGTTTCGGTCTTCAACTTTCTGGCCATTCTACCGCTTTCCGCTATTGTGTCAGATGCTTCTGACACACTATCCGATTATTTTGGTGATTTGGTCGGGGGACTGATTAATGCGACCTTTGGCAATGCGGTCGAGTTGAGCGTGTGTTTTCCCTGTTTATCTGCCCAGAGCAAATTCTTGTCTGCCTATTACGGTAGCGCGGATGAGTAGCATGCTAACCTCACCTATTTGTAGACTGGGATTCTGGCCGTCGCCAGTGGAGACACCTATTTTGCTCAGTCGGTTATGATCGGGAGTATTTTGTCAGATATTCTTTTGGTTGGTACACTTTTCTTCTATGTTTGGGGATTCGTTTTTTGGAAAGTCCAATGTCATCGGCGGACTGTGTGACTAACAAACATGGTATAGATTATGGGCGGCTGTCTGATATCAGCTTCATACAACAAGCATATCCTATATTTCAATATGGCCCAGACGGGTTCCTTGTCCTCCTTAATGGTTGTCACAGCTGTGGGGTTGATTCTACCCTCCGTTTTATATGCAACCTTTACCTCGGTGGACTTGGAAGATCAAGTCCTGAGTTTCTCCCGTGGAACTTCCACTGTGCTTCTGGTGCTATATGTCGGATATCTCTACTTTCAATTGGGAACGCACGCCCACCTATTTCAACAAGAACCAAACGCCCCACAAGAAGATGAAGCTGATCAAGGTGAAAATAAAGAGAAGCCGGACCTGTCGAAAACCGTCCTCACCCTTGTCGCCGCAGGCACCTCAATCGTCATCTGCTCCCATTTCTTCCTTGCCAGTGTCCCTGCTACATCGGCCGCCACCCGAATCTCCAAAACTTTCATTGCAACTATTCTCATTCCCATCACTAGTAATTGTCCCGAAGGCGTGGCGGTGATCGCCGCTTCGTTCGGGGGCGGTGATGTAACTTCGCTATTAGCGTCATTGTCAGCAGTATCTTGCAGATCGGACTCTTTGCCATTCCGTTCCTGGTCATGTTCGGGTGGCTGATTGGGGTGCCAATGACGCTCTTTTTGAGACATTCCATACGTTGGTCCTGTTCTTCGCTATTCTGGTTGTTAACCAAGTTTTGAAGGACGCTAAGTATACGTATCTTCATGGGAGTCTGCTGATTGGGCTGTACGTTGCCCCCCCCCTCCTATTCTGCTTAGCTTATCTATAGTTTGTGACTGATATATTGGCTTAGATACGCGATAATCGCGCTTGCATTTTGGGTCCGCTGAGATGGAATTGCTACTTCATGGAAACATCGCAGTACTGCGTTTATTTATTGGTGAATGCCAAGACATGATGATATCTATACCACAATGCCCCTTCACATGTCCGTGTTGTATACGGCGGGCCCTCAATTAGGGCGTGGGCTTGGCGGTGCCGGCTATACCAGGACGCATATAGAAAGCAGCAACAGATATGACATACCTATATGAGAGAAGCTGTGATTAGCAATTCGTAAAGTAGATAAAATGAAGTGCTGACTTACGTTCCCACAAGCATTAGTCCTTCGAAGTAATTACTCTTCCCATTCTGAAGCACATGAATCAACACCATTGAAGCCAAAAACAACATGGTCGCCTCAAACGTGTCCATCTGCAGTGTGATGGGCAGGTTTAAAACCCAGCCTAAGATAATCAGAACGGGGATAACAAGGAGAGTAATGCGCAGTATGTTGTTGATGATGGCCCGCACTGCGGACTCCGCATGGCCCTGGCGTGAGACTATGACAATCGCAACGTATCTCGTGGAGTTGCCAACAAGTGGAACCAGCACGAGGGCGGGAAAGGCTGCGCTAAGACCAAGCTCTTGTGCAACTCTATCGGCGCTCTTAACAACACATAAAATGCACATAATCAGGCAGGATACTCCCGTCACAAGAGCAATCAGAGCGCTTCGTGGTGCGAAAATTCTCGCTGGGCGATCCTGTGCGATGCCACGATCGTTCAGGCTGTGGCTACCTGGAGAGCCTTCGCTAGACGCTTCGGCATGATCAAAGATTGACGCATGACTCTTCAGCTGGAAGAGAAGCAACACCCCAAGCAAAATGAGAAGTACGATTGCCGCTGCACGTGAAACAAAGACTATCTCAAGTCGAGTCACCGAAGCCTGGGGAGAAGTGGTATCCAAAGAGGGAAAGGTAACCATAATTGTTGGAATCAAAAGAGACATGCATACAGCTACCATGAGAGAAGACATAATGCTGATCAGGGTGCGGTCAAAATGGAGATGATCTTTATCGTAACCGGTGAGACAGAAGCAGCTCCCTGGTACCTGGAGCATGTTAGTAATGATATCTTTGCTGATATACGAATGATACACTACTCACCAAAAGCATGTAGCAGAGCATGCTTCCTATCAGGGTCGAGTGAATCATGTGCATTTGTCCACTGGCCATGGCCACAACTCCCAGGGTCAGTTCAATTGCATTACCAACGGTCGCTTTGAGCAATTCATCGACCACGCGCCCAGTCGCCATGGACAAATCGGCAATAGAGATTGTAAGCAGAGTGACGAGTGGTATTAGTGCCGTAAGATTCAGGACAAACACCACTCGAGGTGGTCCGCCCAGGATCGCTGTGATGATTCCAATAGGGACGGTAGCCAGCATTGCTTTCACATACTGATGGCTACCAATTCTGACGATCGCTCGGTGGAAAGGACGCCATTGTTGGCGGGCAGCTCGCATGGGCGTACTGGGGACGGGAGAGCGAAGGGAATTATTCGGCGATACAGCAGACATACTGTCTAAGGGCGGTAGCTGCTGGTGTCTGTGCCTGACCGATTGCATGTTGTCGCCTTCGCTGAGAGAAAATGGAGTCTCGAAAAACCGCGAGGGTTACTTTTGTGTCTGCTGAATGATCGTGGTGGCGGTCATCAAGACCGGACACATGGATGTACGCAAGAGGGAAACTAGAAATACGGTGAGCCTCAATACGAGTAGAAAGAAACACTGGGACGGTTCCTGTTTGGAAAGCTTTACGGGCCGTTCAGCCCTACAGGGCCAGAGTGTCATTTCCTCACTGGCTGCCTTGTCCGTCCCGTCCCCACCCTCCAGGCCTGAGCGCGAAGCTTCATCGCTAGGCATCCACATTTCTACCAATCAAGGCTCCCCGCAGCGGTAATATACGGTATTGACAAGAACGTACCAGGTAAGGTATGAGACACCCCAGGGTAGTATTATTGTTGTCTTGCTATCAACTGATAGTCATGTCAAGTTAGCTCGTCCATCCCCCTCTTGTGGACTTCCTCCCTCCTCAACCACGCCCTCATCATGGCTGGTGCTGCCCAGAGAAATGCCTGGCATGTCGTCCAGGTTACTCTTTTCTCGAGCTATGCAAATGTGATGCTGGTGTTTGTCTTCCTGGGCATTTTGGCCGGTGCTCGAGGATGGGAACCATCAGCTGTGTTCTTGTTGAATTTCTTAGCCATCTTTCCCCTAGCTTCCTTGCTCTCCTTTGCCACTGAAGAATTGTCCAAAAGTGTGGGACAGACCGTAGGGGGACTGATCAACGCAACCTTTGGAAATGCGGTCGAGATGATCGTAAGCCGAACTCTCTTTCCCGTTACTCGACGTTTGGTTACGGTCGCTAATCACACCGGCCAATTCTTCAGGTGGGAATTACGGCCGTAACTCAAGGGGAGATCAACATTGTTCAATCAAGTATGGTTGGCAGTATTCTTTCCGGAACTCTTCTGGTAAGAGACATAGTTTTGGACGGAAGTTTTCCTTGATTCACTTACTCTGATTTTCGTACAGGTTCTAGGATGCTGCTTCCTAGGTGGAGGATACGGCAAAGAGACAATATCCTTCAATGTTGATGTTACTCAGGTCATGTCGTCTTTGATGATCGTTGCCTCCACCTCCCTCATTATCCCTTCCGCTCTATACTCGACGACTCTCTCCGAGCTGCCCGAGGGAGATGATTACATCCTCACCCTCTCCCACATCACTGCGATTTTTCTACTCATTTTTTACTTGGTCTATCTTAATTTTCAACTGAAAAGCCACGCTCATCTTTTCGCTAGCACCGAGGAGGAATCGGACGAAAAGCGCGAATTAGAGCCTCTCCCCGCTAGCATTATTCTGATCCTTGCAACACTTGGAGTCACCGTCTGTTCCGATTACTTGGTGGAGGGCGTGGACGGGTTTGTGGAGGTATACGGAGTCAGTCGGGCTTTCTTGGGGATGATTGTCGTCCCCATTGTTGGCAATGCGGGCGAATTTGCCATCACGGTGAATGCCGCAATGGGCGGTAAGTTAGATCTCGCTATTGGGGTAATCGTTGGAAGCACGCTTCAGATTGCGCTCTTTGTGACTCCGTTCCTGGTGATTTGTGGGTGGGTTCTCGGGCAGCCGATGTCTCTGCGGTTCAATACTTTCGAAACCGCTTGCTTCTCCCTTGCTGTGGTGGTGATGAACTGCTTGACTCGAGAGGGGAAATCGAATTACTTTGAAGGATTACTACTGATCGGGACGTAAGTTATTTTCCTCTTTGCTTCTTCTGGAGATCATCGTCTGTCTAACCCGACCGTCGGTGCCCAGGTATCTGATCATCGCGATCGCATTTTACGTACATCCGGATGTGACCGATCATCTTGCAATTGCCTGAATCGCGTGAGAGGAATATACCAAAAATGTATACCTGAATTATCATTGATCGTCACATTATGTTTGCTTGATATATATTAGATAGATGTATACGGCGAGTAAACAATAGACCCGTGGTTCACTCCTCAGCCTTATCAGGCCTCCGTATTTCGAGTGGGGGGTAAAGTTTCAATACCCGAATAAAATACGTGAAAAAGGTAAATTCAAGAAGTTTAGGTTCTTGGCTGCCTTCCCCTTAGGAAAACAGCCTTCGATTCGACCGTCACAATGGACGCTTCTCTTTCGCTCCTTCACTTATATTCTCCTTGTCCTAGCCTGTTTTACGTTTCTCCCTCATGGAATATCTCCGGGAACTTCAGAAAGTTTAGCATAATGTTTCCCCAACCCACCATGGTCTCCCCAGTCTGCAAGCTCTAGACGATCGCTCGGTGTAAGTTCAGGGATGATTACTATCATACCAATAACAAAACCGAAACCCGCGCTGGCACTTCACCCAGTCAATCTTTGATCATGGTACGCGCACTATCTCTGTCGGTGAACGAAGATCAGTGAATTTACATTAACGGAGTTAGAAACCCTTCAATGACAAACCAGATGCCAATACAGGCGACCCTACGATCTTCGATCACCCCAGAAATACCTTCGATATTACGGCAGAGCAGCTCAGCGAACTCATAGAGTCTAGAAGTATAGAGACTTTCCATGCATTAGGCGGTCTTGCCGGGTTGGAGAAAGGGCTGCGAACAGATCGAAACAGTGGACTGAGCGTCGATGAATCAACGACTGCAGACTTGACCGAGTCAACGGAAATTGCGACAGGACAACAGAATGGCCGCTTCACGGACAGGACCAAGGCATTCGGGACTAATCATCTTCCAGTAAAGAAACAGCCGAGCATTTTCCAGCTCATGTGGATGGCATACAATGACCATGTTCTGTTCTTCTTAACTGGAGCGGCTATTGTCTCTTTGGCGCTCGGTCTATACCAGGCACTCGCGACCAAGCACTCCGCCCGCAATCCGCCCGTTGAATGGGTGGAAGGCGTTTCGATCCTTGTCGCTATCATTGTCATTGTTCTTGTTGGTGCCGCGAATGATTTCCAGAAACAAATCAAGTTTCAAAAATTGAACAAGAAGAAGCTAGATCGCAATGTGACCGTCGTTCGATCCGGTCACGCACATGAAGTCCCGATCTCTGACCTAGTTGTGGGAGATGTTGTGCATGTGGAGCCTGGGGATGTAATCCCGGCGGATGGGGTTCTCATCCAGGGATATCATGTCAGATGCGATGAGGCCTCCGCTACCGGGGAATCCGATCTCCTACGTAAACATTCTGGGGATGAAGTTCTCGACGTGATTCGAAGGAACGGTGATACTCAAAGCTTGGACCCCTTCATAATATCCGGGTCAAGTGTAGCTGAAGGGGTCGGGTCGTACTTGGTGATTGCGACTGGCACCAATTCCAGTTATGGCAAGATTCTTCTCACGCTAAATGACGATCCTGGATTTACACCCTTGCAAACTCGTCTCAATGTATTGGCGAAGTACATCGCAAATTTCGGTGGGCTTGCAGCTCTTGTGCTATTTATCATTCTTTTTATCAAATTCCTCGCCAGCCTTCCTCACAGTAGTCTGACACCAGCAGAAAAGGGCCAACAGTTTCTAGATCTTTTTATCATTTCACTGACGGTCGTGGTGATTGCGGTCCCGGAGGGCCTCCCACTAACAGTGACCCTTGCACTGGCTTTTGCAACTACAAGGATGCTCAAGGACCATAACCTAGTTCGCATGTTGAGGGCCTGCGAAACCATGGGAAATGCGACAGACATATGCTCGGACAAGACCGGGACTCTGACCCAGAACAAAATGACAGTCGTCGCTGGGGTAATCGGCACTGCCGGCAAGTTCGTTGATCCGCAACAGGCGGATGACGATGTTGCTGATCCGCCTAACAGCCCAACTACCAGCGAGTACACTCAGCGTCTTGCGCCTGACTCAAGGTCACTTCTCAGGCAATCCATTTCACTCAACTCAACCGCATTTGAGAACACCGATGCAGGTACCACGTCATATGTAGGGTCTAAAACAGAAGCTGCCCTCTTAACATTTGCTCGAGACCACTTAGGAATGAGTCAACTCGATGTCGAACGCTCAAATGCAAAGATTGTAGAAGTTTTTCCGTTCGAAAATGCTCGCCAGTGTATGGTCACAGTCGCTCAACTGGAGAACGGCAGGTATCGGGCCTATGTGAAAGGAGCTCCAGAGGTGCTGCTCGACAAGTGTATAGAAGCAATTGAGGACCCAAGCAAAGGGCTCTCCACACGACCGATCAATGCAGATATGGCCCAGGGCCTACGCCAGATAATTGCCGATTATGCCTCGAAGTCTTGGAGGACTATTATCGTGTTGTTCCGTGACTTTGACGTATGGCCTCCCCTTGATCAACTGCATGATCAAGTGGAGGAGATAAGGATAGAGAACATTGTCCAAGATCTTACTTTCCTCAGCATTATGGGTATCCGAGACCCTCTCCGAGACGGTGCCCGGGATGCCGTGCAGTCGTGCCATAAAGCTGGTGTGGCCGTTCGTATTGTGACAGGCGATAACCTACTGACAGCAAAAGCCATCGCCGAGGAATGTGGTATTCTCACAAACCCAGATGATGTTGCGATGGAAGGCCGAGAGTTTCGTCAGCTTGGTGAATCACAACAACTGGAGGTCATTCCACGTCTCAAGGTCTTGGCGAGATCTAGCCCGGAAGACAAAAGAACATTGGTTCGTAGACTGAAGGAAATGGGAAGAACTGTTGCTGTCACTGGCGATGGAACAAATGACGCCCCTGCTCTGACTGCGGCTGATGTCGGATTTTCCATGGGCATCTCCGGAACTGAAGTCGCGCGCGAAGCCTCGTCAATTGTCCTCATGGATGACAACTTCAGTTCAATTGTGCGGGCAATCATGTGGGGTCGAGCTGTCTCAGATGCCGTCAAGAAATTTCTACAGGTATAACACTAAACCCAAGCACTCCAGTGAAGAACAGCTGGGTTGCTAACCATTTCATGATCTGCAGTTCCAAATAACCATCACATTCACCTCTGTCGGCCTCGCTTTTGTCTCATCCGTCGCCAGCCCCAATGAACAGTCGGTCCTTACCGCTGTACAGCTCATGTGGGTAAACCTATTCCAAGACACGTTAGCAGCGCTGGCACTGGCAACCGACCCTCCATCGCGCAAAGTATTAGACCGAAAACCAGAGGCGAGATCAGCTCCTTTAATCACAATTCCAATGTGGAAGATGATCATCGGGCAATCGATCTATCAGCTAGCGGTGACTCTTGTCCTTCACTTCGCCGGAAGCAGTATCTTCTCCTATACGCCCGACGATAAGGATGAGCTTCAAACGGCGGTATTCAATACATACGTTTGGATGCAGATCTTTAATATGTATAAGTACGTTTCACTAAACTCCATAATTGGTGGATACCTTACCAACCCTTCCACGACCAACACCATCCAATCCAAATCCACCCCCAGTTTTACCTTGAAGCCCTACTTCAACGCATACTAGTTCTAAACTAATCAACCACAGTAACCGCCAACTCGAAAACAGCATCAACCTTCTCGAGGGTGTATCCCGAAACTGGCTATTCATATGTGTCACTCTCTTAATGATGGGCTGCCAAGTCTTAATTATCTTTGTGGGAGGCCGCGTCTTCTCAGTTGTCAGACTTACTGGCACCCAGTGGGCTTACTCGGTTGTTTTGGGGGCTCTGTCTATCTTGATCGGGTTCGTTATCAAACTCATACCGGATGAGCCTGTTGAGTGGGTCTTTGATGGGTTTGGGGCTATCTGGTCGTTCATAGTTTCGAAGTTAAAGGTTTTCCCGAGGAGAAGGGATGCTGATGTTAGTGCTTGAGGGAAACGGGCTTTCATCTATAGAGAAGGTAAAGTGCAAACCACAACTATATTCTATAGTCATGTTGCAACTTCTGAATTTATGCAACAAATAAATCTCCTGACTTGAACTTGCGAACCGGTCTTACCTAGAATAGCAATAGGACAAAACATTCCTTTGGTTTTTGGATATACCATGTAGAATGGAGAAAAATAGCAGAGGCGACATATCCCAGTCAGGTTATTAGTGGGTCTATTATATCTATTCTTGCTTCTTTCTAATTGCAACACTGTTTGACTAGTACAAAATGTCAACTTCACATATGATATCTATCAGGACTGGGAGAAATCACATCCAAAGAGGTGAAACTACAATGGAAACATGGAGCCTCTGCTGTATGAGAGCTGTACTCATGCGGAGTATTGCCTGTCGCTCCACTCATCGTATCTTTGCACTTGCCAGGGGGATTTCACCTCATTTAACCAGATTCAAGGCAGCGTCGATATCATTCTCCGGGGGATGGCACGCGGCACTAATAGCGGCACTGCAGCTCCCTGCCAGAGGTAATTAGCTTTAAACCGCCTTAGCCCCAATACCTGCGCCGTACGCAGCATCAAGCCCCCGAGATGTAGAAGAATGAACATTGCGACAACTGAGAAGCCACATGTGCTAATCGTAGCCCCTGCACTTCCCCATTGATCATATGAGACCACACGTACGTAATATGAACTTTGTAAGACGAGCCAGTGTAGCACGGCAGATGATAACAGCAGTGGGACGATATATCGATACGGTAGACTGAGGTAGTATGTTGATCGCTGAATCTCCACGAGGTTCGGAGACGTGTAGTGCTTTTCTCTCATTGCCGTAGTCGTTGTATTTGGCGGCGAGGACCATGCATGTTATAAGATTGTTATAGAGGAAATATATTACGGAGTGAAATAGCTGTGGGGTGTTCGCGAGGATGGCTATGGATATTTGGCTTTGCGGATAGGCGTGTAGACCTGGGTAGTAGATTGGGTTTGAAGAGTTGGGAAAGGAGAGTGGATTGTCTGTACTGGGGTCCATAAGCAGGTTGTCGCTGCGTACGGGTCCCAGGACTAAATGCCAGTAAAAGCTCAGCGGATGGTCTGCATTTTGGAGGATGACACCGATTAGAGCTCCTAATACCACGAGGGAGATTGTGCCGCTGTAACGTGTACAGGGTTAGTGCGTGATTGTTGCTTGGATTGACAAGAGGTTGCATTTACAGAGTCATTATTGATGCCCACATACTAAGCTATTTAATAATAGAATATCAAGTACTTGCATGAAGAGAATCATGGAAACATAGAGCTGGTCTTCTTCATCCTGCCTTCCTACTACTTCCTGCAGCCAGGGAAAGCACAATGTCTATCGCTGCCTCCAATAAGTGACTACCTTGAGCAACCTCATTGCGTATAAATTGGTGGCCGCTAAAGTCGAATCAAGTATCGCCAATAGCAAGAGGGAAACACTAATTCCTAATAAGCCTGCGTGCCTTTGGGAGAAGTGAAGTTCTTGGAGAGCGTTTCCATTAAGCATGCTTAAGAAGAACCCCAGCAGCACCCTTTCGCGTACATAGTATCTCTCTATTTTTCCTTATCGAAATGCGTTGAGTAAATATGTTATGGTACTACACCACACACCATGCACCATACAGATAGCGGCATGGCACAGTCCCACTTTATTTCGACAGATTTTTCATTCCCTTCCTCCCTTTTATGCAGTGACTCAATATACGCAGTTATGAATTTTTGTGTTGCCGTGCAGGAATGTGGATGGGCATTTAGTATCACTAGTTACACAGTGCAGGATGATATCAAAGCAACGGATAGCATGGCCGGTCAGCCTAACCAAAGGAGGAAAAAGTACCTCGGCTGTTTCGTTGCTGGACCTTTCTAGCGCCCAACAATGTCAAGCTTTTCAACCCCTTTCGATCGAGCCATACATGTCAGAGCATAACTTGTGCGCGAATTTTTGACCAGCCGAGGCAAAAATCCTTGTTCGGACACACACCGAAAGTGCCAATAGTACTGTGGATGAGGTTATATTTGGTTGGGATTGTTTTATCAACATATAGTGAAACCAGCGATCGCTAATCTTGGTTCAATGTTCTAGTCTGTTCCTGACCGATTCTAGCACCGCCTCCTGTAATTTTCAGGCAATTTGTAGAGGCTAGAAGGCCAAGGCTCTAGACTCTAGTACTAGGGCACAGTGTAGTTGGTTGAAACTTGGAAACGCTCAGGAACCGGTGAGTATGGTACTATACTGGAGCTACTCAAATTTGAGAGGTTTTATATTCTATGTCCTTACAGAAGCACCTAGCCACTACTTACTTGTATAAGAATTTTCGTCGGTTAATAGAGCTCTAAGGAGTTGATATGAATCAATTTGCTTTCCACCTAGGGCATTGGCAACCCGGTGACAAGCCGTTTATCCCGTGCTGTGACTAACCCTATTTAAGTAGACTCAACGTATCCGCTGGGCACATTTCTGTCATTTGCTACCAACGTTTTTCACTAGGACTATGAGGTCTCCACCATAACATGGTCTGACAAAAGTCAGGGGACATGATACGCTAATCATCTCAACTCGAACGCCTTCTGGTGGGTATCTTACATCCAAGCCACAAAACGAGGTTCAAGATTTTCGGGCTACCCTTTCCTTCGTTGACGTCCGGACATCGCGAACATATGGTATTCCTCTCAAGGAATATATTGCTTGATATTACAGTCTATATACATCTAAGCCGTCCATAGAAACCCAAGCCCAGACACACAAAGAGAGAGAACGTAAATGGAAAGTTAAAAACGTGAGTTAGTGACTAGAAACAGAAAATTTGGTCGCTCATCTTTGACATCGCTCCCGCCTTTTGGAATCCCATGGCTGCCAACGTCTTTTTGGTCGCGTTGACCATGCCGGGAGGCCCACACAGGAGCATTTTAGTATTCTCAGACGGTCCCGGTAATTGTTGGCTAAGTACTTCCTGGTTCACAAAGCCAGTTCCATAGGCCCAGCCATCTGGAGCAGTATCCAGCATGTACCAAAGCTTAAAGTTCTTGGGATATTTGCGCGCAAACGCCTCTAGTTCCTCCCTCAACAAGATGTCTGCCTCTGTCCGGTTGGCGTAAATCAAGCTGATCTCAGTCGTGTCCCGCTCATCCTCACAGATCGCACGAATGAGCTGATACATAGGCGTGATACCCGTTCCTCCAGCGACCATGCCTAGCTTGGTACAGAGCCCCTTGCTATAACGCATCGCCCCCTTGGGACCCCGGAACTCAACTTCATCTCCCACCGTTAGGTTGGCTAGGTACCGACCAGTGAGCAGGCCTTCAGGGTAACACTTAACGACTAGCTCCAAGCGACCGAGGTCCAAGTTGTTTGACACTGGAGTATATGATCGAGATACCGTCGCTCCGTCAACAACTGCGCGTATGGCTACATGTTGTCCGATAGGAGCCCGATCACTCCCTTAGCATTGGGCAAAGCGAACACGAATCGATAGACATTGGGAGATAGTTGATCCTTTTCAACTAAAGGCAACCTCTTGAATTCTTTGGCATCCAGAAATCCTTTAGCCAAGTGCGGGTCAGCCTTCATTACACTTCGGGCTTTGATATGTGGAGGGTAGCGCAAGAAGCCCGAGTCGACCTTGGTGAATTTTGCTGCCTGACGGGCCACGGCCGTGCCAACTATCGCAGAGATGGCTGCAGCTGTAAGAAATCCATTGGTGAACCCTCCGCGAGACAACCTGATTCCGTTGAAATACTGAGGAATCAGTTGGCCAAGCTCATTCTTTGGGACCAGGGGGCCAAAGGTGCCCCTTTGATAGGCATACAGTATGGATGCCAATGCTCCAAGCACACCAGCGATTGTCCCCACCGGGCGGCTCCCAGATGGTTGACGCATGGTCTCTGGTTTCTGGGCAACCAGTTGGACCTTCTTGGGTGGGACGTATTCTTTGGCACCTTTCAAAGTGCCGATTAGGAACTCCTGCATGATCTCTACCGAGTCCTCAGAATGGCCAACATCTTCAAACGCTTCCGTGGCATCTGTACCCGCAGTGTCTATGAGGATCTCTGCGCCTCCAGGATGATCTTGGAGGTAGTTTGTGATATCGAAAACTATTCTGCCTTAGCTATGTTGGGCGTAACCTGGTAGTCAGAATTTTACCTTTGCCATGAACAATGATCCAGATATCATCTTTGCGGTTATGCGATGCGACCTCCGCGGCACTGTACTCAGGGAGTTGGACATCCGCAGGACTTTCGGCCTTTGCTCCATCATTTCAATTGGTCGTTGTGTTGTATGGGAACGATAGTTAGCTATAGCATAGAAGAGTAGTAAAACTAGATCTTTGCACTGGACCGGCGAGTTCGTGGTTTATCATTGCGTTGGAACCGCCACGGAATTGAGCCAGTAGCGTGAGACATAAAAGTCAACATAAGTATAATACCCACAGTCATATTTTAATACTTCATCTAGGGCGTCTCACTGAAGTCGGCATCTTCTCCTCCGAGATTGGCATAAATTAAAAACGGCCCGATGGGTATTCGGCACGACAAGGCGGAGTTCTGAAACGTACTCCGTACGTGGAAGTCGCGGCCGACATTGCGATTGCAAAGCTTTCCCCTTTATGTCGAAATCCAATACTTTCAATATGTAGTTGTGGGTCTAGGGTGACGATCTCTGTCTCTCGCTGGCGTTAGGTTTGGCGCTGAGATTGCGATGCCGACCCGATATCGAAATTTACCGAGGAAGACATCGAGGCATTTTTACGTGCAGGGAGCATAAATCTCAATATGCATTTCATTACTGTGTTCCGATTCTTATCATTCCAACGTAATGTGAAATCGGACAATGTGGGTTCGCCCTGAGACGGCCTTCCGACCAAACTTTGGCTATTCAGGGTACTATAAATTAGCACCTCGACCCTTGGCAGTAGAAGTCGCGATTGATTTCCTATCAGCCAACTAGCCTTGTGAGAAGTCTGCCTAGGTTTGGACAAAAATGCCTATCAAACTCTTCTACCTTTCGGGGGAACCTAGTTCTACCGCGAGAGAAATTGAACTGGAACCTACACTGGACTACGATGGGCTAAGGCATCTCATTGCTGCACACTTTGCTATAGTGGAACCAAATGGTACGTTCATCAAGCAAACCTATGCGGGCTTGGGAACGTCTTTTGTGGCTTATTTGGTCTTTAGCTGATCGTTATAGGAATCGGATTCCAGTCCCAGGATGCGGTCTTATCCGATGTTGCGGAAATCCTTGCAAATGAGGATCGTATTAGCATCACAATTGATGGTAAATCCGTGCGAGATATCCCTGGCCCTAAGGGGCTTCCAATTGTTGGCAATTTCTTCGAAATCTATCCCGACCACCTAGGAAACCATCAACGGTTGTTTGAACAGTATGGACCCATAATCAAGACAACGAACATGGGACGTACAGTCTACCAAACCAACGATCCACAGCTGTCATCTATCATTTTCTCAGAAACAGACTTCTTTACGAAGAAGATCAACGAAGCACACCCACTCCACGCGATCAAGAACCAACAAGCCGGTGTTTTCCTAGGGGATACTGACACTCCGGAGTGGAGAGCGGCACATAAGTTCCTTCCCCCGGCATTGGGCCCCAAGGCTGTGCGGCATTATGCCCCTACAATGCAACAGACAGTCGAGGATGCTTTCAAAGTATTCGATCATTTTGACGAGAATGGAGAGGCTTGGAACGTCTACCAATATATGCTTAAACTTGGATCTCAAGCTGTTGGAAAACTTGTACTCGGCATTGATTTCAACCACTTCTCATCTCCGGATGCACCTCCCCATGAACTCATTCATCTCATTGCAGAGTCATTGTCTTTGAATAAGAAGGTAACCGCAAGAGGTGATTGGTATGCGAAACTGCCATTTGGCGATCCGCAGCGGTTGAGAAATTTGCGCTATCGAGTTTTCGACATAGTGGACCAGTCGATCCAGAACGCCAGCCGTGGGGGAGTCGAAGATCTCCCACTCCAGGACGCTGCCCTGAAGGCCTCGAACATGATCGGTGAGTATGGCAACGTTCTTCATCTGAGCAGTTGCTGATTAAAGTAGACTACGCCATCCGAGCCACCGACAACAAGGGTGAAAAGTTGCCTAAAACAAGTCTGATCCAGTCCTTGGTGGTCGCGACTGGGGCAGGCTTTACTACGACTAGCTCGCTATTGTCTTGGTTGATATACAGTCTGGTTACGTACCCAGGTGTTCAGGATCGCTTACTGCAAGAGCTGATCGATAACGATATTACCGAGGATACCCAGATAACAGCGGACTTGACAGACCGATTAACGTTCATGGATAAATTGATCAAAGAAACTCAGCGTCGCCATAACCCATCATATCAGCCCGCGCGGACCGCGAAGGTTGACATGATCTTACCAGGAGGCTATAAGCTACCTGAGGAATCTGTGGTAGTCGGTGCCCTTCATCACCTTCACAATAACCCAGAAGTCTGGAGCAACCCAACCAGATTTGACCCTGATCGGTGGGACACAGAAGAGGTAAAGAACCGACACAAGGCCGCCTATATCCCATTTGCTACTGGTCCTCGCATGTGCATTGGCTTTAACTTTGCACTACAAGAAGTCAAGGTATTCTTGCCGAAGCTAGTATACCGTTACAATTTTATGAAGGAGAATGATGGGCCGATCGAATATGACCCTATGTTCCAACTTATTCGGCCTAACAATCTGTACGTGCGCGCCGAACGGCGTGTAAAGTGGCCTCCGAAGTCAGAGTCTGCCACTACGAGGGCTTCTCTTTAATTATTGGAATTGTTGTTCACTGAAACTTTGTCAAATCAGGTTCTCATGTTTTACTGGGTCCTGGGCTTATAAAACGTTACTGTACATAGACTACTATAAGATATCTGGATATAGAGAAAATTGATTTAGCACTTGGCTACAAGAAATAAATACAACAGTCAAAACACAACAAGTGAAACCAGGCAATTAAGTAAGGCAAGGACCAGCCTTTGCAGAATATTGGCCTTCTCACTCCTTCCTCTGGATATCCATCTCCATCGGTCAAAGCAGCTTGTCCGAACGGTTTCCGACACTATCAATGCCCGGATTAGATCTGTCCCGTATGCAGTCCTCACTTTTGTCCACCTCATTTAGAGGCCGTGGTAGCCCCGTTGCATCTTCTATTTGGCCCTTGGCCCTCATGTCCCTGCTGGGTCTGCTGGCCTCCCTGACCGTGTTCACCTCCCTTACCATGCTCACCTACCTGACCATGTTCTCCTCCCTTATCATGTTCTCCTCCCTTACCATGTTCTCCTCCCTTACCATGTTCGCCTTCCTGGCCGTTCTGGCCTCTGTGTGGACCCTTGTGGCCCTCTCCACCTTTCTCACCATCACCACCCTCCTCACCTTCCTCGTCGTCGCCCTCATCATCATCACCCTCGTCATCCTCTTGGTTATCCCCTTCGCCTTCATCTTTTCCGCCTTCTTTGCCGTCTTTGCCTTCTCCGCCCTGCTTGCCACCCTCGCCACCTTTGCCATGTCTGGTACCATTTCCAGCTGCTTCGCCGCGAAGGACAATAGTGGCTCTCTCGCTCTGGAAGCCAGGGACAGTGGCACGAGCGGAGACATCGCTGTATTCATTCTTACGAGACAGAGAGGCTTCTGCATCAACGCCCGATTAGCTATGGCTAAAACAAGGATATCAAAGAGAGGTGTATAAAAGTAAATGTACCTGATGCAAGCTTGGCACGGCTATCTTTCGCAGAAAGAGGAACCGAAGCTGCCAGAGCAACCAAGCCGAGGAGAGCTAACTGCTGAAATCTCATTTTGGAGTTGGGGTTCTTGGGGCAAAAGAAGATGTTTGTTTGGCTGGGATACTTGAGGACTGGAGGGCTTGATGATTGTGTCTGTTGCTGGTCGTCAAGATGGTGAAAACTTCGCCGGTACTTATACACGTAACTTTCATTGAGTGCTTATGGGGGGTAAAGGATAAAGAGTCCTGCCTGAAACACACCCCTTTTCATGTTAGGCGCTTCGGAGTAGTCTCATCGTTGTTTTGAATAAAGTTACTTGAAATCGAGTAACAGAAGATGGATCTAGACCTGGGTTATTTGATAGCTCAGGTGTAGCGGCGCTTGTTGCGATATTATGTGGCACGGTTGCACAAGGAGAGACGCCAGTGTGGTTGGTTGTCGTCTGTCATCTCAGGAGGTAAGTACGACCATTGGCTTAGTGGCTTGATCCTGGAGATTTTGAGAAGCTTTTTCAAGCTGAGTAGATACAGATTACTCGTGGGCTATGTCGTACAGATCTGCAAGACATACTCCTTATTGAAAACACTATGCATGGATATTTGCCCCTCGAGGCAAATTGGCCAAGGTTTGGAAGTCGTTTCGAAAGCCACTATAGAAAGAAAAGCTTGGTGGGTCAGGTCCTCGTTCGAGAATAAAGACAAGAAACTATAGCTCATGGTATTATCTATCCATTACACACATCAAATGAGCAATTTGAGGGGAACAAAGATATCGTATTAAGATCTCCCCTAAATTATGAGCTCATTTCCATCGTAACACAATGACAGAAGGGCAGTTTCTGGAATGAGAAGCCGTCCCTGGAAGGATTGTCACCATTCTTTCAGACGAGGTATACCTCCTGCAACAATGTTCACACAAGCCACATAACATCCCGGTCGACATTGTGCATCCGTCTTCTCTTGAAAGATGCGTTGTATGCTCCACAGGAGTACCCCTAGGTGCTCGCCTATTAATCCAGAGCCAGTCTCATTGGTCCTCATTATCGTCTCTGGTTTCCTCGGCGCCACCAGATGACAAGTCTGTTTCAGTTTCAGACCGGGTTGCACGAGGCGGGAATCTCCAATCTATGGTATGAGGTATCCAGATTCCGTTGTACATCCTGTCTTGCTCTTTGGTGGGCTCGGGTTTGGAGGCGTGGGGAATGTCCATATCACCGGCTGACACGTAGCCTGCGGCCACGGTGGTTAGAATTAATGAAAATTGAACATACAGGGGAGAAGAGCTCAAATACCATCTAGAATGCTACTGCGCTTATCCTCTTCAGGAACAGGCGCAGAAGTAGCAAGCGCAACGAGGGAGAAGAAGACCAGCTGGTGGATCTTCATTTTCTCTTCTTTTCTTGTGAAACGTTATCGTACAACTTCAGATGTGTTAAATGGGAGTTATACGGGTAGCAGGATTTATATAGGGTTGCTGTTGGTGATGTAAACCAATCCACCATCATTTTTCCATTATTGGGTATCAATGGCGTGAATATTGAGCAGACCATAATCGCAGTATCAGGCCGAACGGTTATTCGTGGAGTATATCGATTGAGGATTCAATTGCGGGCTTGCTTATTGATAAGGGTCGTGAGATAGGGTTTGGGTTGCCCGGGCCCCATCGGGAAGGCGAAGCATTCAATCAATCAAAGAAACGCGCTAAAAGATGGAACTGCAGCTATACCAGATCGGAAGTTCAAACAAAGAGTACTGTGAATCTTTCCATGAAATCTTTTCTTAGTTCATCCCTTGAGGAAGGCCGTGATTAACATTCCCCACAGGAAAAAAGGGTCAATGGTCAGTAGTGATCACCCGAGCGTCATATTCCACAGGTCCTGCCGACATAATGATCATGGCATGACCACTCTAAACGCGATACAAATGTATGATGGTTCCAGAAGGTGATAACTATAAGACTCCTACAGAATGAGATCATCCTAGCTTCGAATTTCGACATGCTACCAGATTATTGCCTTCGCGTTGGAAGCAATTATTTATGGTAACAGAAGGAAAGATTTTGTTGGAGTTGTCTTCTCATGTCTTATCTAGAATGTGCTATTTAAGACCTATTACCCCTTCCTATAACATTAACAGAGGTCGTTTCTGCTACAAATAGGGGGTTCCTCAAATCGGCGTCCCCACCGTCCATCAAAGACGAGTAATATTGGGAATCTGCTCGGACAGAGTAGCAGAGTATTGGCAGAAAAATGCCAACAATACCCACAGAAGCAAGAAACATGAACTTCTCCAGCGATTGTATAGTAAAGATGTTGTCAAAAGGCTTTCACATCGGTAGGGCTTCTTCCAATGCGACGACATCTAACAAAAGCTCTGAGCATCATAACTATGAAATACGCTTCCAGCGCTGCAAACGGACATAACATAGAGGGGTGTACCTATATTCAGTCAGTATATAACGCCCCGACAAAAGACCATTTGTAACAAAGAAGAGCCTACTGTCCACGGGTAGATTAGGCCCCGGCCCTCTAATGATAGGCTTGTGTTGCGGTGTCGGAGTCAACTTGTTTTCACAATCGAGCTGATCATTTCCTCCATTGACAGTAATGGACCCTGTCCATATATCGATATGCCAGACCTTGTTGGCCCAGTTCCGATTACAGGAGTCACAGTAATCCTCCATGCGAAGATACTTGCGCAGATAGGGATCATAGATGATTTCGCAGATCTGAAACTCGCCCGGGGCTGAGGCGAAGGTTAAGGGGTCGTTGAAGGTTCCAACTCCCCCAGCCGTCAGACCACGGCCGCAATCATACGCGATCGCAGAGCCGGGGGGATCATTGTCGGGAAATCCGTAGAAGGTATGGGTTACATCCTGAACATGGCAGGATTGGCGAATGGCGAGTGCAGAACTGAGTCCCACATACCAAAGGATGACCACGAATATCAAGGACATCGTGACTGGTACGATGGCTATGGAAGCTGAGAAATCTGTTTGCAAGGGAGTAACGGGAGCTTTTTAAAGGGCTCCTGCATCTCCAAATGATGACGAAATTTGTGTAGAAGACTTGGGTCTTCTATATCACTATACCGGTGATGAGCCCACGGTTACCTCATGCCAACCATAGAGCAGTCTTTTCGTCATGGTTATCCAAGGTATGAGGTGGTGTGACTGCCCGTCTCGAGATATCATCTTGATATTGAGTAGATAACTTATTGGAATTCACTCGATGCCCTGAAAGATCAATTAACTCTTTTCTCTACATATGGAATCACCGATTATTACCCATATTCCCTTTTTCTTCTTTGGCTCTCTAGAACTAGTGCAATTTATGATGTAACCAATGTTCTACATCGTGGAGTGATCATTCATGACCCAGGAGTCAAGCTGAGCCAGCTTCACACACTCAAAAAGGAAGGAAAGAAAGGCGACATGATACTGTAACATGGATATCTACGTATTTCAGAGGGATAATTACGTAGTTCATGTGTTCCTCACAGGAACATCGACCGTCATCATTTCGACTACAGTCTTTTAGGTCTTGATTTGCGATACTTAATTAACCGAGGCATTATTATTCATAGTTGGCCGGCAACATGGAGAATGCCTCTGAGGTAGGCCGCTGACCTAAGGATTTAGAAATTCAATGAAAGAAGCAAGCAATAGACGTAGGTTGACTTGTCTCCAAAAGCTAAATCTCTCGGCGAATGCTATGTCGGTTGACCCGGGCCTGCGGTATCCCGTCGCGTTTCACAGACATCACCGGTCCCGCATATTCCTTTTGTCCCTTGATAATGTACATCACCACACTGATGATGAAAACGGCCGAAAATATGACCACGCTCCAGTTGAAAGTGGTGCGAGTGACAGGAGTACTTCTGGGCCAAAAGGAGAAGAAGAAGGCAGATACTACATATACCAGGGCTGCTGCGTTCACCCAAATTCCATATTTCCCCATGCTCCAGCGCTGTGGAGGCAGTGTTTCTGGACAGGATAGTCTGCGGTATAGTAAACAGCCGATGGAAACGACATATGTCCACATAAGTGCTGCAACATTAAGGGAAATGATCGCATGAAACGCTGTGTCAGAACCGATGTTGATCAAGGCTAGAAGACCACTGATAACACAAGATAATCCAATGGCATTCACGGGAAGCCTCCGCTTCGGATTGACCTTGCAGATCCACTTGGCAAACGGCAAGCCTTTGTCACGAGCGAAGGCGTAGGTTTGGCGCGCTGTTGATGCATTGAAGAGGATATTGCTGAAAATGACTGGGATGAGGATGATAGCCGTGAGACCGTTAACTCCAGCAGTCCCAACTGCATTCTTGAAAACATAGATGAAGGGGAAGCCAGTTGGATCCTGAAGGGCATCTTCCAGGGATGGCATGGCGAAAAGATAGGTAATTACCAGAACAACAGCCATGGCGCCATTGGTAAAGAAGCCCCAGACCATAGCGATCGGCACGTATCTACCGGCATCGCGAACTTCCTCGGACATGTGCGCCGTGGCATCGGTGCTGAGCCCGGCGTAAATAGCAGAGATCTGACCAACCATTAGGGCCAATCCCATGCTGGACCACCCGCCAGTGTTACTAAATTCCAGGAATACGACACTCGCAGGTTGCCGTGGGGCCATGGCCCACAGGACGGTTATGACTACCACAAAGCAAAGAATGTGCAATGCCAACAGTAGGTTTTGAATACGGGGCATCCAACTGGCCGCGTAGACATTGAAAAAGTAGATGACTAGGATCATGGCAAAAACGAACAGTGTGCCCTGCCAATTCTCTGTCTCATAGCTTGGGTCTTTCACACTAATTAACCCTTGTATGATGGTGCCGGTCAGAAATGACCCCGACGCTGCGCCAGCTTGCCACGCGAGTACCGACATCCAGCCAGTGATATAGCTCAAAACGCGTTGATAGCGGGGAGATGCAAGTTCGGAAATCCAGTGATACTGGCCACCAGAGGTTGGAGACCTACGTTTTCCACATTTGTCAGTCCAGGCGCGATCCAGATACCAACCAAATGAGGCTGTAGTTTCACTTGCATTGATGCCATTTCTGACATTGTCAGAATAATCAGTCCGAATCCAGCAAAGGTCCACATGTAAGTCCAGAATAAACCGGCCCTGCCGCCGTTCACGAGCGCTTCAGTGTTGCCTCTATTTGGTGCTCGGTTTTGTCAGCTGAATTTCATCATTGGGAGACCTGAAAGGAATCCCGCACATCAGCAGAAATTCCCAGGTAGCCTGGAGTACCGATGCAAAGCTCAGAGCAGCCAGAGGGCGAAGATTTCTCTGCAGTAGCATCCATCGTCAATGTTTAATCCATCATATCTGGCTATCTGATAAACGCCGACAGCATACCTTGAGTTCCTGGATTTTACCCATGCGCGTCATGTCGCTCTGGTCAAACCCGGTACCCATTTCTTCGCCATTCTTAGTATTTTCTTCCATGTCAATATTCTGAGACGCAGCAGCCGAAATAAGGTTCCCCGGCTTTGGTGTGATAGGGGCAAATTCAGTGGCAGTTGCCATCCTTGAGGACGGAAATAGTAGCTAAGCCAAGTCAAGTAGAAAGAAAGAAAGTACTGAAGGGCTGAGGTGTTGTGGCATGCTACCTGTCACAGTCGGCGATATCGGGACACGAACCGCAAAGAGGAATGAGAAGGAGATGGAGTAAGAGTGCAGTAACACCGGAAAGAAGCATGTGTATGTCTGTTTGTTTGTATGTTTGCCGTCACACTTCACGGGCTGTCCAACCTCATGGAAGAATGCCTCGGTGAATATCAATCCTCTCAAAACCACCGATTGTGCTGCAACAAGGAGGTGTCCACGTTGAGTTACCCCTTTCCCCCTTCGGCTCCTGACATGCCCAAGTCCGATGAAGCACTTTTGTTCATTGTTTTAGAGATCCCTCGAGCCAGAAGGATAAAAGTAGGGTCATCCCGGCCACTCAGCCTGCATGCTTGCCTACCCTGTGCGACATACCGAACCGCAATACGAGGGATCTGACTGAAGAGGGTATAATTGCATGCATTTCTCCTATCTTCCGGTTGCGAGGAAAATTCAGGGCAAGGGAGTCATGGTAAATATAGTAAGCCAATTCTTGGCTGACCGGACCAAACCCTAATTTTCTTCCAGAGTCAATGATGGAACCATGGTGTTTCGCAACCAATGCAAGTTCCACTAGATTGAAAGGGGTTCTCCAGCTTTTGTCCACCAATAGATCTGGATAAATATTCAATGCTCGAGAAGAACAATCCCAAAGAGCAATATCTCTAGTGTATTCTCCGTTCGGACCGCTCCTCTCCTTCGCCGTTTCTTACATGCCCTCGCCAAGACAACAGGAGGCATATTGGCGCTGCCCACTAATAATACCAATAAAAAGAGAAAAAGGCAAATAAGATAGTCTCGTACTTATTATCAACGACTAGCCGTATTGGAATCTAGCCTAATGACGTTGTCCTACGTGGGTGTCCAGTGATGTTCGACTTGTTTGCTACCCATACCGATAGTAGCTCGAGAATAAGGCCGGGGTTGGAGATGATCGACCGCGGATTAAATCCTTCGTAACTTTATCACTCTGGGCCAAAATGGCCTAATATTGGCGATCGTATCCTTCTACCAATCATGCAAAGAAAAGTTGGTTGGTAACTAGTGTACCGGGCGCACGCGTGTGCACGACTCGTGAACCACAGTCTGTGCGCTGTCGACGTGATAGGGACAATATGCGGTGGAAGCTCGGAGTCCTTGTATGTCATATTATGCCGTAAGATAGAAAAAGAAACGAATTCTATCCGTGTCAGCAGATAAAATCTCGTGCTTCCATGCCATTCTTGTCCTCCAGCTGGGCCCTAGGAGGGGCCAACCTTAACCAGAATATATCAGGATACTACGTCGACCTTAACGTCGTTACATAAATCTTATTCAACTTGCCGAGTACAATGCCAGCTCGATCTAGTCCGCTCCTATCCAGGATTACTCCTCCCCTGGCAGCGGACAATCACTATGATCACAGTGGTTTACTTGTCGTGATTACCTCGCTAGCTTTGTTCCTAGCCCTGGCCTCTTTTTCGATCCGTGCATTCGCTGCTTCAAAAAGATCGTTCATGCTGAGTGAGGATTACGTACTTCTCGCCGTAGTGGTATGTGTCGTGGAAAGAAATCCTTGCCCCCGATTTCTGTGCCCTACATCAGATAGAATAGGTCGCTCACGCAGTTCCCAACAGATATGTGCATGCGTACAAGTCTCGGTTACTCTAGCCTCGGTTCACTATGGATGGGGCAAAACACGAGATATGGTTTTGGACAAGGATTTCATACCCATGTTGAAGGTGTGTCGATTTAAAGATATTATGAAACTACGTATTGATACTCACTAATATCCAGACGGTTTATGTAGCGGACCTGTTCTATGTCCTTGTCATCGGCCTATCGAAAGTTTGCTCGGCAGTATTTTATCGGAACCTCTCCATCCGTCGCTCTATGCGTGCGAACAATGTCATCCTCGCTGCTTGTTCGGTGTGGACCGTTCTCACAATGGCTGTTATGGGGGCTCGTTGCAGTAAGAGCCCGTGGAAAGATATTGATAATCATTGCGTTGGTCTCGTTAGTAACCATAGTTCTACTTTATATTGCTGTGATAATCACTCCGATTATCATCGACCTGACTTGTGAGTTATAGCTGCCACGTTGGAAGGCTGTCTGCGCCTTAGATATCGTGCTCGAAGCATTCATCCTGGCTTATCCAGTGGGAATTATCTATAAGGTTCAGATTTCTCCTTTAAAGAAATTTGTTGTCTTTGCCATTCTCAGCTTCCGCATTATGTATGTATCACGTCTCTTCCTACCAACACTCGCAGCTGACCCGAACTATACACTTCTTTAGCCTCATTCCTCTCTCTGCGGTCCATCTTTACTTTATCCAGAAACAGGTCCAATCAACTGATCCAACTCTTACCGGAACGTATGCGACGACAGTCGCCCAAATCCATGTCGGCGTTAGCGTTCTCGTGCTTACCGTTTCATCGCTAAAGATGTTCGTGGCAGTCTATGAAGATGAGCAGGGGCTCGCATATACCGAAGATGCTTCAAAGGCACTGGGCATTAGCGATAACGATAACAGTCGGCAGTCAAAAGTGAGGTCAGGGAGATGGTCTCGACAGGCGCAGGAGCCCAGCACGTCATCCACTGGCTTCGATGATGGGCCCGCCATACCCTTGGCCTCAGGAGCGCGAGGTGGTAGTAACGCAATCGTCAAAAGCGTACATATCTCAGTAACCCATGAGGATTGTGAGCATATCGCGCTGGGGAAAAGAGGGCCACATGGTCATAGTGGAAGTGTTATGTAGATGCTGCCTAGATGTATTCGCTATCATATATGGTCCCTAGAAGTAGGTGATCGGGTTGTCAATATTAATGCACAATGAATGGATGTATTATGCTTGCGTATAGCTTCTTCCACGCTCCTCCTAGATCGCTGATGACCAGAAGAATGGGTATTAGAACTATTGGCTAGGTACAATATCATGAAGCTATCTTGGTATATCTCTCTGTATGTCAAAAGTGTGTTCCCTGTGCCCACTTCTATACCCTGTAAACCTAAATTCAGGGACGCGATAATTCAGTACTTATATAATGGTGCTCCCTTTGGAAATGTATCTGGAAATGTGCCTCGATAATAGATATTTGATAAATTTCTTCGTGGAAACCACTGCTAAAAACATCTACTCCGTATGCTCTTGGCATTCATGCAGTCCTGGCTTGATACGCGTCGCAAGATTGGCGTGGATTCATTATAATACTATATTATATCCCAGTCGCACTATCTTTGTACCCCGCATCGAACCATTCAACCGTTGGCTGGATATTGAAAAGCTCCCACATAAGTCCATCATCCCACATTGACGACGTTTGCTGAGATAGCCTCCAGCCTCGAGTGCTTGCGAATACAACACCTGTTGCTCTGAGCTTCCTAGTTGAGTGCTATCACTGCGGTGTGCCCTTGCGGTAATTGACTCATGAAGCTGGGGATACACTGATACGTTAGCGTCATTAGATGCAGTAACTTCAGTGGGCTGGCTTCTGATTGCCTCTGTGGTTTGCTCATGCTGCTGTGAAGCGTCCTGAGCGATGGTTTCATAAAGCTGATCGCAAAAGGCTGTGAACTGGGAAAATAGCCCGTGTAATCGGAGTATAGAAGGGTTATACTCCTTGATGCGGGATAAGGCCGCTGTTATTTGGGTTAGGAGATTATAATCCTCGCGATTGGACGTTGCAATGACATTGCAAAAAATGATAAAAAAAGGCGTAAGTGGGTAGAGAAGCACAGTCCTATATATAGCATAGATTAGCCGCCAATCTCCCATATGTCTCTCTCAGTGAGTGAATGACACATCCATACCAGAACACAAAATCATGGTAAACTTGTTCACCTCGCAAGATATGATATTGAAGCACATTCATAGATCGTAGTGCTCTGCGAGCATGAGATAAACAGCGTTCACGCACACGATGATCATGTAAGGAAACCGAATTGAGTCGCAAGACTGTTGTTATGATAGAATGATAGGTAAAGTCCACTGCATCCCATTCCAAGCGCAGTTCCAATGTGCCGCTCGAGTTTGCTCTTGCCTGAACGGTGTGAGGATGGCTGGTGGGAAGAAGAAGGTGGATACATACCTCACACAGCTCCTCCCATATGTCTTGCAATTCGGCTTCTAAGCGGGTAATAGCCCCCAGGGCCTGGTTGTCAGGGATTCCATCACCTGGTGTTAGCACAGACAGGGCACCATCCAGCACATGTGCCAGCTTGATCAAGATATTGGCTTTCATATCTAACGGGTCTGCTTGTCTTGACAGAAGTAAAGAGGTTGGCTCAACACTTAGCGCTGGCAAGGATGGTGGTCGCACCAGAAGCATGCTCAGAACCTTATCAAAGTAGTAGCACCATCGTATACAACGACGGATGTCATGAGACCTGTCACACTCTTCAAGCATCCTTGAATCCATGCTATGATAACCTAGTGCTACAAGGAGTCTCGACGCAAACGCCGTTAAGGTCCAAGCTTGCGTTGTATCACCCAAAGTTTGCATCAAGTTGACCTAGCACCCAATCCTGGATTGTCAAAAATGTAACCATAGATAAATTGACGCACCGGAATTCGTAGCATAGGTTATACTCACTGCCGAAAGCAAAGACTGAAGCATCAATAGGCTTGGTTTGTGCAGAATATCAAGTTCGCGAATTGACCGAAGGGCAGCTGTTATATACTTTTTCTTCGAAGCTTCTAGAGCTTGTGCCAGGTCGCTGGACGTACAGATACGCAGCCATCTGTTAATGTAGGTTACTGCTCTTGCAAATATACAGACCTTATACTGAGATGCTATCTGGCCGGTCGCCTGACTATTCACAACCGCCAGACACATAGTTTCAAACCTCTCGAGAGATATGTGATCGGGCCAGTGAAGTTTCCATGGCGTGGAATAATCGGGACAAGCTGGATAAACTTAGAGTGCAGGGCTAAAAAGGCTTAGGGCAGGGTACATACGATTCATCATCATGAAGAACAATTCTGAAAGCCCCACATTATCTGGTGTATCACCATCTTGTACTTGGTCATAGCTTGAGCTTTCGACTGAATGTGAGGGATTGCTGAAGTCGCTAATCAAAGATAGGGCGGACTCCAACACATGCCTACGGCTTGTGGAAAGGGATGGAATCGAGTCTAGTTCGCGTCGGATTATATTGACTTCGTTTGCTTGATATACATACGCAGGAGAGCGGACGGCTTCAACGGCCAGATTCGTTTTGTGTCTCAATCGTCTGGTTCCTTCTGAGGCGCTTGAAGATGGCCCTCGAGAAGTATCCTGTCCACCTAGGCTGATCCCCAGATTAGGCGGACTCCTACAAGGTAGCTCGTCAATGCCCCCATTTCTACTTCTCTGGTTAGGGTTCCCAAGCCCTCGAGAACTGTACGACACAGTGGGTCAGAAAAGTCTCTGTAGCTATTGCATTGCCACGCGTACCGTGAGACTTTAGTGCGGCGAGTCTGCTTGGGTCTCGCACGAATACATGGCACTTGCGCACTCGTACAGCCCTGACACTGTGGCTGCCGGTCACATTTAACCTATCTCCGACAGTTAGCGTCAGACACATTATACGTATTCTCATTGACATTGATGGTCACAGCTATTGCAGTCGACTACCAGTAGTGGTTGGGGACGCTAAGTACCTTTCTTGCGTGGCATAGGTCACACTAAAGTACAACGGAGAGGACAAAAGTATTCGTTAGTGCATCAATTCATTTGTACACCTCGCGAGCATATCATCGATGGTGTGGGTACAGCAAAGCGGCAGAGATATATAGCGATGCTTACAGCTGGGAGTTTGCGGAGTGCTGCCAAGGGTGAAATACTGGGCGTTTCGGCCATTAGGTGTCAGCTGACTTCTATAGCTTTACCTGAAGAGAATATAATATCCTAGGGAAAGAAATTCCAGTTTACCGTCTCCAATGCTTTCGGCATTTCGGGAAACTCGGAAATTAATTATGCTGGGGAAACGTGATCGGAAATTCGGATTATCTTCATGCAGGACTAGTCCTAGAAAAGGCTTGTTCCGAGGGTTGTTCCATCGTGGACCGCCTTCCTATATAGGTTTAGCCATCTTCGTTCTATAAGAAACTTATCTTCATTTGGAATGTCTTCTAGTAACATACATCCATCAGGTAAGAGGGGACGAAAGAGAACCGGTCATATAATAGCAGAGGATGCCATTGAAAGACCCAGTTGCATATATTAACCATGCAGATGTTGCGCCAGTATACTGGCATCGGTGCGCGTTCACTAGTCACTCGCCAAATCGCTTGGCTGTTGGTGGATCCGACTGCGACTGTCCGAAAGTCCGACTCACAATCCGAGTAACCAATATGTCCTATCCCACATTGTTCGTTAGGCATCTTAGTGCGATATCCATAGCATTTCTTTTACCTATTGGACCCATTTATCGGAATTGGGTGGCTAGCTTTTACTGACAATTTGTAAGGATGTGGGCCAGGCGCCAAAACCAGAATGGAGCATTTAAACAGGCTATTTTGGTGCCTTGTTCTTCTCTCTCTTTCTTTTCACGTTCATCGAGTATTCAACTCTTGTATATTCCAGATATCCTCATATTAGTAATGTACGGCCTATCTTGAGCGTTCTGGAATATTATACGGCCGCTTCTAGCCATGGAAAGTTCGACTACTACATCTTCAACCACAGGTTGGCCTGCCGAGGAACACAAGCTTTCTATGACCGAGGCCGACATTAGTCCTTTGGTTTCTAAATTTGAAGAGATTTTGCAGCGAAGTTTACAATCCGGGTACAAACCTCGACGACTCGGCGTCACCTGGAATGACTTGACTGTGAAAGCAAAAAGCGCCGAAGCCACAATTAATGAGAATGTCTTTTCGCAGTTCAACATCCTTCGTCGTCTACAGCAACGCCGACAAGGCATGCCGCTGAAAACAATACTTCATCAGAGTCATGGATGCGTTAAACCTGGGGAGATGTTACTGGTTCTCGGCCGCCCTGGATCCGGATGTACAACACTGTTGAAGATGCTTGCCAATCAAAGGACAGGCTACGAAGAAATAGAGGGTGACGTGTGGTATGGTAGTATGCGCCATGAGGAGGCTGCGAAGAATTACGCAGGTCAAATCATTATGAATACAGAAGAAGAGATCTTCTTTCCCACGTTGACTGTGGGACAAACTCTGGATTTTGCGACTCGTCTGAAGGTACCTGCTCACCTCCCTGGGGATGCTGCTAATGCAGAGGCGTATCGTGCAGAGATGAAAGAGCTTCTCTTGGAGAGTCTCCATATACCTCACACGGCAGAAACGAAAGTGGGCAATGAATATGTTCGTGGCGTTTCCGGGGGGGAACGAAAGCGTGTCTCAATTCTGGAATGCCTCGCATCTGGCGCGTCTGTCTCCTGTTGGGACAATAGTACTAGAGGTCTAGATGCGGCGAGTGCATTGGACTGGGCAAAGATGATGCGTGCGATGGCGGATGTATATGGCACCTCTATTATTGCAACACTATATCAGGCAGGAAATGATATTTTCCGCCTTTTCGACAAAGTGCTTGTTTTAGATGAGGGGAGACAGATATATTATGGGCCTGCTAGCCAAGCACAACAATTCATGGAGTCCCTTGGATTCGAATGCAGCGAGGGTGCCAACATTGGAGATTATCTGACCAGTGTGACAGTTCCTCTAGAACGTCGAATTCGTTCCGGATATGAATCCATATTTCCCCGGAATGCTGAAGGTATTGTCACATCCTACCGCAACTCTAGTATAAAAGGTCAGATGACCTCTGAATACGACTATCCTACTAGCGAACTGTCGCAGCAACGTACCAAAGATTTTCAAGAGTCTGTCGCTCTGGAAAAGCACCATCCAAGAAGCGCAAACACTGTCCACTTTGCGGCGCAAGTACGTGCTTGCATTATTCGACAATATCAGGTGCTGCTCGGTGATAAGAAGACGTTTGCCATGAAGCAAGGCTCGACCTTGATACAAGCCTTGGTGGCCGGCTCAATGTATTATCAGGTGAAACCCGACACTTCTGGGCTTTTTCTGAAGTCCGGCGCTCTGTTTTGGTCCATCCTTTATAACAGTATGAGCGCTATGTCTGAGGTCGTCGGTTCTTTTGCTGGTAGGCCCATGGTAGTGAAACACAACGCCTTTGCATATTGCAAGCCGGCTGCGTTCTGCATTGGACAGATAGCTGCGGATATTCCTATCACAATTTTCCAGATCAGCATCTGGTCTCTCATCCTGTACTTCATGGTTGGCTTGAAAATGTCTGCTGGTGCATTCTTCACGTATTTCGTGGTTCTTTTCGCATGTGCGATGTGCTCTACTGCGTTATTCCGTGCCGTCGGTGCGGTTTTCCGAACATTTGATGGTGCCTCCAAAGTGTCCGGATATGTGGTGACAATTATGGCCATGTACGCAGGATTTCAAATTCAACACACCCAAATGCGGCCGTGGTTTGGATGGCTATATTGGCTTAACCCTGTTGCGTATGCTTTCGATGGCTTGATGAGTACCGAGTTCCGCGATCGAGAAATCGACTGCACCGGTGGCAACTTGATCCCTCATGGCGAAAGCTACGCGAATGTGAGTATGTCATATCGATCATGCGCTGGTGTGAGAGGTGCAGCCCCAGGATTCGCCTCGTTAACTGGGGAACAATATCTGGGTGCTCTGACATACAGTTATACGCACTTATGGCGGAACTTCGGTATTCTCTGGGCTTGGTGGATCTTCTATGTAGCGATTACTATCGGTGCCACCATGATGTGGAAAAGCCCTTCCGAATCCGGAGCACAGCTGCTCATTCCTAGGGAAAGACTGGCTCAGCATCTGCAGCTGGGTCGCGACGATGAGGAGTCCCAAGTGCCACAAAAGTGCTGCCATGGTCACCATAGTGAGGAAAAAATGGATGGTTCGCCGCCCTTAGCAACACCGGTTGCTGAGACACAATTGGCTAAGAATACCTCCATCTTCACCTGGAAGAACCTGAAATATACTGTAAAGACTCCGTCTGGCCCCCGAGTGCTATTGGACAATGTTCATGGATGGGTAAAGCCTGGTATGCTAGGTGCTCTAATGGGTGCATCGGGGGCAGGCAAGACAACATTATTGGATGTCCTTGCCCAGAGGAAAACAGAAGGGAAAATTGAAGGGTCAATTATGGTGGACGGCCGCCCTCTATCAGTGTCGTTCCAGCGCTCGGCTGGGTATTGTGAGCAACTTGATGTTCATGAGCCCTATGCGACCGTTAGAGAAGCATTAGAATTCTCGGCTCTTTTGAGGCAGTCTCCCGACACGCCTGAAAAGGAAAAGCTCGCATATGTTGATGTCATCATTGACCTTCTCGAACTTGAAGACATTGCGGATACTCTTATAGGCACACCTAGCGCAGGCGGTTTGAACATTGAGCAA